ATATGCGTTTTACACCTTCAAAGTGCAAAATGTTACTGTAAGACTGGGTCGGTCCAGCACCAAGCCTCATTCTAACCGGAAATTTAATAGAGAAAGTGGATAAGTTCTGTTATTTGGGCAGCTACACCTCACCCGGTGGACGCATCACGGATGAATTATCAGCTCGCATACAGAAGGCTAGGTTGGCGTTTGCTAACTTGAAACATCTGTGGCGCTGTCACGACATACGGCTCTGTTAAGCGTCGAGTGAATGCTGCGGCAGTTCGGCCAGTTCTGCTATATGGAGCAGAAACTTGGCCATTAAGAAAACAGGACAAAGATAGACTGTGTTTGAACACCGGTGTCTACGTAGCATTGCACGAATCTGGTGTGCCAGCCGGATGAACAATTCTGAGGTAGGTGCAGAGTTTTGGGTATCCGCGGTCATCCACTGGAACAAGTGGTCGACCTCCATACATTATGTTGGTTGGGGCATGTGTTACGCATGTCACCAAATAGATTGCCACTGCGAGCGATGTTCGCCGAGGCAGGTAGTAGGTGGAAGAAAGCCAAGGGTGGTCAAGCTAAGACTTGGCACGAGGGTATGAAAACCCTGACCAGGAGACTGGGTCACATAGGTCCCGTTAGACTTCCTGGCTGGGGACATCGGGATGATTGTAATCGATGATTCTGGACACTGAGTGATATGATTGGATGTCGTAAACAGTGGCGTTTGTGCATTTTCTCAATTTCTCTGCAAAATTAGTCCACTGAAATTCTAAATTTTCTGTTTTATTCTATTTTCTGCTTTTCCTGTCTTTCTCATGATGTTCATCCAAATGGGCAGCCAAAAGAGAACAACCGAAACAGGCGCATAAAAGTACATGTTTATTGATTCTAAAAAATGAAAACTGATATTATTATTATTATTATATAATCGAGTCAAATCCTCCGTACTACTCTCAAGCATGGAACATCCACCATACACGTGTGTGTGTGTGTGTGAAGATGGAAAAACTTGCTTTCGAAATAGTATTTGATGCTTACCATCATTCTGCCACTCTTATTGTGTAAACTGTACACTGTGCAAAAAAGGCGATCAGAATGAGACATAGTAGGAACCTCTCCCCCCGCCCCTACGATCCAATCCGTCCAGGCAACATGTGGGAACATCACACGCGCCCTCTCTCGCCTGTTTACCAACCGAATTATGCAATTGCGATCAAACAGGTAGCTGAGTTAAGACCACCGAATTCTGTTTACTTACAAGTTGGATTTCATTTATATATATATATATTGATTAAAAACTCATTATCGTACGTCATTGTCATGCCCAAGCTTCTATTGTCTGTGATTTACATCCCATTCCCATGCCACTCCGGTCCTCCATACCACGTTGTGTCCGTGTCTGTATTCATGCGCCCCGTGTCCTATCGGGGCTTCTATTCTGGCCAGATTGTACGGGGACTGTGCAAATAACGGAACCATATATAGATAGACATGCAACCTGGCGTCGCACATGCACATGAACTCGCAGTAACCTGTATATGTACACACACACACACACACGCAGGGTATGTCACTAGCCGATATCTACCATAGATTGCAGTGACCAGGGAAACCGGTCATCAATCTAAGTCAGTATGAAAGTGAACATTTTGAAATAAATTCATTATGTACCCGGGGTGAAACCAGTGTGGATCGGAAAATTGATTTCAAATCCGGCTGGATAGTATCAACATCGGGGACTGTCCATCATCGGCAACCTAATGCGAGAGGGTAACTATGAGGGATAGAATCGATCAATGAGAATACTACGAGAACGAGAGAGGGGTGGTGTAGGATGGAACTACAGATTGTTGATCGTCATTTGTGCAATCTCGATTGTGCTTTTTATAATTAATTGAATATTCCCGGCTCTAATGCTTGATGGACAAGAATTGACTGTAATAGATTGTCTCCTCTACTTAGGTAGCTGCGTGACGAATGACCGTACCATTGTCAATGAAGTAACCGCCCGCATTTCCAAGGGCCAAGCAGCAGGACTGAAATACCTTTGGTGCAGACATGGTATTTCCTTGAAACTGAAAGGTCGTGTATACTACACCAGCGTGCGGTCAGTTATGCTCTACCGTTACGAGACCCTAAATTTGCCTACGCACTCGCTCCATCCAACCCGCGCCAAACTATTTCAACATTGACAGCCGATAGACCGTCCGGTATCTGGCAATGATTCGGTGGAAAATTCTTTACCATAGAGAATTCAGATGAGTAGTTTTCACGGATTGCTCATGCACAGCTGTCGTCTATCACAAGCATCTCACTCACAGCTGCGGCTCCAATTTGGAAGGATCCACATGGACGTCCAAAGATCACATGGAGCCGAGGCATGAAGAAGTGCACAGCGCTATTAGGTATAGTATGTTTCCTGTCCTACAGGTTGGGGTTCGAAGGAGTGTGTAACTGGTTCGTTGGAGACAATGAAGGGTATGGTAACAGCAGTGGCGTTCTTGTTGTCATTTCTTGTTGAATCGGTATGCTTGAAAATTCATGTATGCACCGTTAGTTTATACATACTCTGCGTTGATCACATAGGTTCACTTTCTTTCCCGCCATCCATTTAGGCCCAAACTCTATTCGTCTTGAAATTTGTCACTTACTTTATGGACATTGTGAGCTTGACAGCGATTTCACTTCGATTTATCTCACTGTACGATGATGATCATGATGATTCGGATGATGATGATGACTCGGATGACTCGGATGACTCGGATGATGATGATGCTGACGACGACGATGTCAATGAAGCAGTACAATCTCAGAGATAAATCTTATAAGATAAATCAAGGGTCATCAATCACAAAAATCCCCTGACAAACATACATATCGTTGATCCACTTTGTCGTTCAAGCAGTCGTGACGTAACATGAATCCAGCTCTGGTAGCTTT